GAGCGTTGAAAAACGTGTGTAGACCGTATCGACAGTATTATTATTCTTATATTTTGCGCCATGAAACCGAACGTGTCCCAGTTTTCACGTGCGAGAAACGTACTTTAATTATCCTCGGGGATACACGACAGCAGAACAAGATGTACTATAGATTTCAGGGACACGTCACAAAAACGTGACCAAACTTTTAGCACAGCTTCAAGTCGAATAACACCACTTGACGTTTTGCAAGAGTCCGAAGAAAAATTGCTTTCCAAGTCGCTCATACTTCACGAGCTACAAAACAAAAAAAAAATCTGTTCAAAATAATTAATGTAGCTGGTAGCGCATGTTTGTATTGCAAACTGAAACAAAGAAATAGAAATGGAAAATATTACTTTCGATGAAAATAAAACAAAATTTAGAAAAAATTACGACATCCAATAGAATATTACGGTTGAATGAAATCCGTGTGTCTTAATAATACTATAAAATACTATTGTATGATATTCACTTTTTTTTTTCAATTTAAATCGATACATATCAAAAAATTATTCATACTTATAACAATTGAGTATTCATCTTCCAACGTTTCAAATTATTCATAACATAATCAATACATTATTTAGTATTCATTACACATTATGACGTAATAATATATTGTGATATAAATCTTATGCGACAAATTTAAAACAATAATATTATCATCCATGTACACCGATTTATTATGTGCTCGCTTTTCACGTGGCATTTCGGTTTTTTTTGTTCCGATGTTTGTACCAGTATTGAGATCCATTTCGCATGACTCACAAGTTTATTGTTTATTGTTTCAATGCAAAAATAAAACTATGGTAACACGGCGTATTGCATAGGCAATTTAGCTACGTCGTGTTTTTTTTTCTGGTGTCAGATACCTAATAAAATACTTACGTATAATAATATAATTGTGGTTTGGTGTATACGTCAAACGTTCAAAGTACGACATTAGTGAAAAATACAGAAATCAGTATAGATTAACATGCAAATAACTATTCTTAATTTTTGTACGGGATTTGATCACTTCGACGTGTTTATATAACAAATTATTACTGCATCAACAATACCAACTTTAGCCATTTTCCTTCCGTCGTTTGCAACTTCCTCTCCCACAATTCCGGTCTCCCAACCTACTGTGCTAATCAATTATTCCGTGGATATTATGTCTCGATAGATCGACCGGTTGACGCACGACTCTCGACTTGTGGTGAAGTCTTTCGGTGCTGTCTGAGCCGAAATAAACCCCGCTACACCCAAACCGACGAGTTAAAATCTATCGTTTTTTTTTTATTTATATCTCAAGTAGTGATGTACAGAATAATTCCTAACGTCATAACCTACAGGTATTTCATGGTTAAACCTAACCTAACTCGTATACCATACCGATTTCACTATATTATTATTGTCTCTGGTGCATTACGTGCATCTTTTGGCGGCAAAAGTGTATTCATTTTTATGGACAATAAACATTTTATGTTTACCAGGGAATAAATATATAAATCCTTAGCCCGTGAGTACGATAAAAAATTTGAAACGGGCGTAACGCGTAGTCGCCGCGATGACCGTAAAGTGGAATTATTTTTATAACAAATTACATGCGAGAAATCGCGTCGTCGTCGCCGTCGTCAGACTGAAAATACGCTTTATAGTATTATATTATTATTATGTTATAAAATATACACTGTGTGGGCAACGTGTAACCGTACATCCGCGGAGAGCGGATGGTCGATCAGCGAAATAATTATGGTTCGCTTCAAACCGGTATACCTATGTATATTACGAGATAATATTATTCTACACAGTCCGGAGCAGTCCTCGCGCGCGGCGATCGGCGTGGTTGAAACCAAGTGTGACCGCGCCGTATGTCCGGACAGTAATTATTAACGACGAGGCGACGGCGGAAATCGTAGACGACATTGGGCTCGAAAAGTTTTCGCATTAGCCGCGGTGCGGAGGAGAGATAAATGTCCTCGGGCCACCTTTCATCGCACGTCATCTGTCACGCGTGTGAGCACACCGCCGCCGCGGCGTGTGTCAGTACGGTCGGAGGTGGTAGCGGGGGTGGAGGTGGCGGCGGACTTTGGACGCGAGCGGCGGCGCGAGTTTTTCCGTCGAAAATCGATTGCCCATCCGTCTTGACGCGAGACGATCCCGGGGAGGGGAGGGGAGGGGGAGGAGGAGGAGAGGAGGGAGTCCGCGGCTGCGACAGCCAGCGTGGGTGGGCATGTGTGTGTGTGTGTGTGTGCGAGAGCGAAACATAAAACTCGAGTCGAGTACGAGGCAAACATCCATCAATTAGCGTCCGCGGGGAACGCGTGTAATTCCGCCGCGCTTACATTTCACCGGGGACGACCGCGTTTTAACAAATTAACTATAGACTGTGGATATTGTATACCGACGATGTGTTTAGGTATTGCGGCGGCGGCGGCGGCGTTCCGTGTAATATGTACATGCCTATACTATTATTCGTATATATTTGTATCGTGCACGGGGCAGGTACGGCTACACATGTATATACGACCGCTGCGTAGATCTGTCTTACTTTGTCAAAATTGAAAAACGGCGAAATGCACGCCGCCGACAACTGCAGGAATCCCGAAACCGTTACCGCGTATACCCGGTAACCTGCAGCACGTCGTGTCCCGCCGGACGGGGCTTATTATTATACTCATCGCGGAGACGAAAATTAAATACACGACGACAGTGTCTGTTTGGCCGGCTGAGAATTTATATTGCCAGTGTATAATGCGGTCGGGCAGTGATGGAATCTTCGCCGCGTCCGCAGCCTCTCACGCCCGCGAACCGTCTCGCGGACCGTCACTGCGTCTGTCCCGCAATAGCTGTCCGAGAGACCTAATGAAATTCGTTTTGGGGACAAAACGTCCAAACGGAAATAAACGACGAGACGACCGTCCCGATACTGTGTCATATCATCGCGTACGTTGTTGGAGAAAATATAAGAAGGACGCACATTCCTTATTTTTCGTGAATAAACAGCGTTGTCGCTATTTTACATTAGCCAATGTTGAAGAGCGATCATTAGGTAATATCATATCGTCAAATAGTTAAATGATGATCACTCTAAATAAGAATATTATCCAACACGCATGACGCACGTGATTTGTAGAACACAACAGTGGGGCGTGTCGCATTAGGTAGTATAAATGATAAAACAAATCATTTTTCGTACGTACAGAAATCACATTTGTGTTTGATAATGACGTATTCTTCGAATAAGGTAATAAATAAGCTAATAAAATAATAAATATTATTACGTATTGTACGTGTGTGCACGTGATTTGGAAAAAAAAAAGCTGAATAATGTGAATTTAACATAGTACCTACCTACACCTATAGTCCGGCGATAATACCACGTGAATAGCAAAACGAAATATGAATGAATTTCGATTTGAAAAATATCGTCAAAAGAATAATTAAAACCAACTTTTGTGCAGCCATAATACAATATAATGTCGTATTATACAGATGATGGTACGAACATCAAAAGCCACAAATATTTACGGCAAACACTGGGGGGGGGGGGGGGGGGGGGG